GGTTTCCCCATGGGGCTCTGGTATATTGGACCCTTTTTCCTTCCTCACCAAACCACTCAGATCTGACAAAGTGGGCGACCAAGTCATGCCCAGGCCGGGCGCAGGAGGTCTGGGGCTATTGCGGAATTCTCAGTCTATGAAAAAGAGCCCTGCCCGGGACACAAGCGTTTGAACAGCGGAAGAATCTATCCAAATAAACATTTAGAATTGGGTGGTTGATGTTCATACCCGGAGGTCTGGGAGTGTCTGGACCGAGGAAGGAGAACAGACGCCGAGGATATAGAATTCACAGTTACCCCTCCTCGCCAAGTTCCCCTCTCTCACCCCAGCCTCGGAGCCTCTTCCTTGCCCCCCTGGCCAGACTTTCTATCGCAAATTAAAGTTTCTAGAGGAGCTCTGTGGCTCGCGTGGTCCTCCAGTGGTTTCCCCAAACAGGCTGACACCCCCTAGACCTCAGCATTGAGTCCTCAAGGTCCCCATGTAGGAAATCCTCGCAGGAATTGGAGAATCCATTACGCACATTAACTTCGTATCACAACACAGGGTGAATAGAGTACTTTCAAACTGAGTTGGGAGGAGGCTTTGCTCCAGCGGGGCTGGTCGAAGTTAAGTGGAGAGGAGGAAGAAGATGAAGTGCCCCAAGGAGGCGAGGTCTTAGATGCAGTAAACAGCTTTGGTGCGGATGCGTCTTCGGTGGGTTACTGATTTAGTCTAAGCCCTTTCATGTAAAACCCACGAAGCAGAGGAAGCATGCTAAGCACACAAAATTTAAACCGCAAGAATGAAGAGATTTCCTAGAATAAAACGCTGATTGCAGAACAAAATCGGAGAAACAAACCCAAGCTTCCCCAAGTTTATTCTACTCTGTGCTGGAGCAAGGGCGGGGCTTTGGGGTTTGGAGCTGGCAGGGAACCTCTCGCGCAGACGGGACAATCACTAAAGCGGGGGTGGGGACCGGGGAAGGACAGAGGGCCGAATCGGAGAGGGGATCCGCTACGTTGAGGCTAGGTATTTCTGGTTAACCAAGGAGCGGACGGGCTGATCTATACTCATTTTAACGAGCCATACCTTTACTTCCCATAAGAAAGAGAGATCAAGTTCTTGTTGTTTGTCAAGCAGTGAAAGTCAGTCGGGAAGGTCTCACCGCCAGAAGAAAGGACTCTGAAAAAGCGAAGAGCCCTAAGGAGGGTGCTTTGTCTCTGTTTCAGAGATAAATACAACTTCCCTTTAAGCCATGTGCTAAACAGAAATTCAGATATACTTGCCAGGGATAAGAATTTGACATAATTTATTACCGCAAGCATTCTTACCCAGGAGGTTTGTATAAATTGGTAATTAAAACAAAGTTCAGAGAGGCTGTAATGCGATGTAGTGGAAACAGAATGGGGGGGGGACCCAGGCCTGCAGTTTAGGTTAGCTCTGTCACTCGCTCAGGCGTGATTTTCAGGGAATCATCTGGGATTTCTAAGCCTCAGTTTTCTTACCTCTGAAGGGGAGGATGATAATCACGTGAGGGTGCCCTGTGCAGGCTATAACCAGCAAGTGAAAAGATTTAGTCTTTGTAGACACAGGGATATATGCCAGAGACACAATTTCCATGGGCAGTGGGATCTCCAAGAAAGAGTTTTGGCGAAGAGCTTCTTACTGCTCAGAAGGTCACCAACCTTTTTATATTTCTGGAGTGGAGGGAAATATTTAGATAGATGCGGGGGGAGGGGGCGCGGGTGCTCCAAGTCAGCTAACCTGTTCCTGACTGGAGCTCTCAGGCTCTCCAAGGTCTATTGCCCTTCCAGGACTTCCCTGGCTTCCTATAAGAGTCATCAAACTGCAAATAGTATTTATTTCAAGTTTAGACAATTTATATAAAATGGATACCACTGTCATTGGGATGGGGAAGGAAGCCTTTAAAAATCCCTGATAATTTAACTAGCTGCATTGGTAGAAACTAACAATATGTAGAACAGGGTTTGTTTTTTAAGAGTATCTGTGGACCCCTTAATACCACAGGCAAAATGGAAGTATTCTGGGGGTAGGCTTCAGAGCTCCCATCATATTTTCAAAAAGATTCATGGCCCCCAAACTGGGAACTGCTGGTATAGAGTATTCCTAGCCCTGCCTAGATTTTAGGGCTGATGCTGGTTTATTCTTCAGTCTCTGAGTCCTAAAACCTTTTAGGGCCTGAGATCCAATGTGCACAGAATCCCCCAGGTGCAGAAAGTTACAGCGGGTATAGTGACAGTGATATTCACTTACCGAATCTTCCCATAATCTATCGCCTATACCCCCATCTACATATGAAATGATGGCCTTTCATTCCATGCTTCTTAGCTAGGCCAATTCTCTTCCCAACACACACACACACACACACACACACACACACACACACACACACACAGAATGGAGCTCCTTTTAGATACGATCAGTCCTCACTCCACTTTTTATTTTATTTATGTTTTAGATACTTACAGCATCAATTTCGTGAACATGCTATATTTACTTTGATATTTAGTTACCTACACTTAAATTATGCCATGCATAGTGACTAAAAGGGGATAAGAGAAAAATACTATGAAATAAATAGGTACCCCTTCCCCCCCTCACCAAAAACCCCGCTCATCAGTCACTCAGAAATTCTTAGAAGTGGAAACCACGAGAAACCTTCTACCCCAACTCAATCAAAACATCCCATCCGGAAAAGGACGACTTGTTTCTTTTTTCTATTGGAAATGGGCGGTAAACTGAGTTCATTTGGGCCGTGTTTTCTTAGCTGACTCTCGGCTACAATCAAGCCATTTTCGGACACATTCCCATGTAGGTACCAGGGGTGCTCTGGAGGAAGCTGTCGACGCCTGTTCAACTAATTTAGGTTTTCTTTGTCTAATTACTGTGGAGCTTAGGGAAAAGGAACCGGCTCAAGGCAGTAAACTGACACTCAGTCTCTGTGTGTGGTATCCAGGCAGGGTTTGATGGAAAAAGCCTGCTTCCACTCAACTTCAGGTCACTGTCTGGGGCCAGATCCAGCCCAACCCCCAACCTTCCCCTCCCACCCTTCCCACTCCTCTGCTTCTACAGCCCCACTAGCACACTCAGCCAGGATCAGTCCCCCAGGCACTCTAAGGGCACAGACAACGGTCAGCCCCAAGAGGCCTGACTTGGTTCTGTTTCACCCAAGGCTCTTTTTCTGCCCACCTTTCACAGGATCTCAGCCCAATCTGCCCTCTCTTGCCCACCCCACAACCTCCCCAGGTTTCTCAGCACTTGGTCCTTTCAGAGTAGACACAGAGGTGTGCCCAGCGCTGCTTCCAGTCTGGGTCCTCTGGTCTGCAGCGCCTCCCCTCGGGGCCTCCCTCTGCCTCGTCAGCTCCCAGGCCTCCTGCTCTCCACCTCCCACTCCCAGCCCCTGTTTCTGGTCAGACTACATTTCCTTGCACGTGCAACACAATAACTAACTGTCCGGCCTTACTGGAAGTAATTCCTCCTGAGGGCACAACTTCTCTCCTAGCTAGACTCTGACTGGAAGAGGAATTAGCCACATTGACTTGAAGTATTCTGCCACAAAAGGTAACTTTCCGATGTACAATTCTTTTGGTGGGCAACATTAAGACTTTAAATCTAGTGACAGTAACACGCCCCTTCAGGACTGAATATAAATACAGCTATCTTACCTCACTCAGCACGGGCTTGCTTTCTGCATTTGTTATAAAATGTCAAGTGGAAAACGGAAAGGAAGTGGAAACAAATGCAAAATGAGTCCTATTCTTCAACCAGATTTCAGCTTCTCTAAAACTTGGTTTAGTTTTTTCTTAAACCCTTCTTCTCAAAGTTCAGCAAATGCCAATGATCGCCCCAGGACATAAACCTGGGGCGCTAGAGCGCCCTGGCTGCTCACCCTCTGTAACAATTGTTGTAAGGCCTGCAAGCCCTGTCAGAAAGAGAGAAGACCGGCACATTACCTTTGGGCGTCGGGCCCCCGGAGTGCTGAGGGCTGCAATGTCTAAATGAAGTTGACAGATGGTGTCAGTGCGGGCACCCGGGGTAAAGGCAGCTAAGAAGGCTCCCGGCGGCCGCGGAGGCAGCACCGGAGGCAGCGCTCCTAGACCCAGGATGGGCGAATAGGAGGAGCGGGAGGGGGAGAGGGAGGAGGAGGGGGTGGTGTGGAGGAGGAGAAGGTGGGCAGGAGAAGAGAGGGAAGGAAGGACAGGAGGGGTAGGTCGGTTTCACTAGGGTCAGTTAGTGTCTGGGATAAGAGGCAGGGGCGCTGTAAGGGGCAAAGAGAAAGTTTTAATAAAGCTATAGGTGGTCGAGTTTTGCTTGGGGTGGGGGTCATCCTAGCAAAAAGGGGCTTAGCCTGTGACTTCTTCCTTTTACAGAGGGGTGGGTGGGTGAGAGGGAAAGAGGCCGAGATTGACATTAAAAGACCTAAGGGAACTCTGGAGTGTGAAGAAAGAGATAAGAAAGGGACCCTGCGGCCAGGTGGGGAGCAGGGGCGAGGTGGAGCGCCTTAGGCGGAGCGTGCCCTCCCCGAAGCGACGGCGCCGCGAGGAGGGGACAAGGCGGGGTAGGGGTGGAGGGAGGGAGGGCGGTTGGGGGAGCGGCGGGCGGGAGGAAGTCTGAGACACAGAGCGAGGAGCGCTCCTGACGGAGACGTCGCGCTAGTCCCCCGGGTCCCGGCTGCAGCCCGGGCCGCAGTCTGCGCTCGCCGGCACAGCTGTCTGACGCCCGGCAGCTTCAACTCCGCCGCCCGGGAGGCCGTTTCTCGAGGCAGGGACTCGAGGGTCAGGGCAGTGATGCTCCGGGCGTGGCCTCCCGCCCGCCGCCGCCGCCTGAAGCCACAGCTGAGCTGAGGGAGGCGACGCCGAAGCGCTGGCTCGGAGTGGCCAGGGCTGCAGCTCGGTTTGCGGGCAAGGGCGCTCGCCGCGCTCCTGGGCCAACGCCGTTCGGGCGCCTCCGCTCCCGGCCCGGGGCCCGCCCCCGCGGCCCGGCTCTCCGCGGAGTCCCAGATGACCACCGAGGGCGGGCCGCCGCCGCGCCCACCCCCGGCCCCGCTCCGCAGCGCGTGCAGCCCGACCCCCAGCGCACTCCAGGCCGCCCTGATGAGCCCGTCGACCACCGCCACCACCCTGGAGACCACCTCGTTGTCCTCGTCGTCGTCCTCCTCTTGCGCCTCCTCCTCCTCGTCCTCCTCCAATTCCGCCAGCGCCTCCTCCGCCGCCTGCAAGAGCGCGGGCGGCGCGGGCGCCGGGAGCGGGGGCGCCAAGAAGGCGAGCTCCGGGCTGCGGCGGCCGGAGAAGCCGCCCTACTCGTACATCGCGCTCATCGTCATGGCAATCCAGAGCTCGCCCAGCAAGCGCCTGACGCTCAGCGAGATCTACCAGTTCCTGCAGGCGCGCTTCCCCTTCTTCCGCGGCGCCTACCAGGGCTGGAAGAACTCCGTGCGCCACAACCTCTCGCTCAACGAGTGCTTCATCAAGCTGCCCAAGGGTCTCGGGCGGCCCGGCAAGGGTCACTACTGGACCATCGACCCCGCCAGCGAGTTCATGTTCGAGGAGGGCTCTTTCCGCCGCCGTCCGCGAGGCTTCAGGCGGAAGTGCCAGGCTCTGAAGCCCATGTACCACCGCGTGGTGAGCGGCTTGGGCTTCGGGGCTTCGCTACTGCCCCAGAGTTTCGACTTTCAGGCACCCCCGTCGGCGCCGCTTGGTTGCCACGGCCAGGGCGGTTACGGCGGCCTCGACATGATGCCTGCGAGCTACGATGCCGGCACAGGCACCCCGGGCCACGCACACCCGCACCACCACCACCACCACCACCACCACCATGTCCCACACATGTCGCCCAACCCGGGCTCCACCTACATGGCCAGCTGCCCGGTGCCCGCCGGGCCTGGGGGTGTAGGCACGGCTGGGGGCGGCGGCAGCGGCGGGGGGGATTACGGCCCGGACAGCAGCAGCAGCCCTGTGCCTTCTTCTCCTGCCCTGGCGAGCGCCATCGAGTGCCACTCTCCTTACACCAGCCCCGGGACGCACTGGAGCTCCACCGGCGCCTCGCCTTACCTCAAGCAGCCTGCCACCCTGACGCCCAGCAGCAACCCCGCGGCCTCGGCGGCAGGCCTACATTCTAGCATGTCCTCGTACTCGCTGGAGCAGAGCTACCTGCACCAGAACGCCCGCGAGGAGCTGTCAGGTAAAGCAGCAAGCCTTCTGGGGGCGCTGCCTCTAGGACTCCAGGTTCGGTGGCTACTGCAAATGGCTACGGGTTGCCGCAGCCTAGAGGTCTGAAGGCACTGATAGGAGTTGATGCTGGCGGGGAGCTACACCTTATTCATGGGAGGAAAAGGACTGGGGTCTTACCTTTTTCCCCATACTCCTGGCCTAGATGTGGGCCTCTAGTATTTGCATTCCTAGGAAGATGATGTCTCCAGCTTAGGGTATCTCCGTGTCCCTATGGACTGGAGGTCTCAACTCTCAGGCCTCACTTAGCTTAGAGAGAAGGCATACATGCCTTTGGGGGCCTTGGCCATAGAGTTCTGTTTTCTTTTGTCTTTTGTAAAGTTTTTTTTTCTTGCTGTATTTTTGCACAAAAGTAAATGTCAGAAAGACAAGTTCCGTATGCTGCGGGTGTGGGTGGGGAGAGGTTGAAACTGGGCAGATGTTGAGAGGAGGAGAAGGGAGGGAGTGATAGCGAGGAAAGCAGAGTGGGGTGCCAGGACCTTCTGCAGGCTGTTGAATGTCCTGCTTCCCCACATAGTGCCCACCTGGTGACACCTAAGTCTGTCCTAGGCCAGCTGGACCTGAGGTCCATACTATGACTCCCTTAGAATAATGCCTGCCCATTGGACACCACTTGTGTTGCTGGTGTAAATTGTGTTGGCCGAGGATAATGAAAATTTATTGACTTGCCAAATCTATCTTGCCTCGTCCCACACATCTTTAATATGTGGGAGGAGGCAGGGTGGAGGAGATTTTCCAATACTTAACTAGATTTATCAAAAAAGTAGAGATAAACTCTTTTATATTTACCTCCTCTGGGGCACCCATGGCCACATATTAAAATTGGGTGTGCCTTTACATCAAACCGTTCTCACTTACATTGCCTTACCCATATTAGAAAATGATTCGCAGGATAATGCATACATTCTATGTTTGTGAATTGGTGTACCACAAGGGCTCCAGGGGGAAGGGAAGCCCAGAAATAGGCAGAAGATGTTGGTTCCCTGGATGGTGAAATTTCCCAAATAGGCCTTTTAAATGTGGGCCTCAGAGGTTAACTAAACAAAGACAGTCTCGGCAGGACCACACTGGAGAGGATTTTAGCCTGACTTAAGTCACTGAAAGAAGAGTCTTGTTCAATTTTATGGGAATTTCTACAAGTAACCAGTACAGATGACCCTCCTCTCTTACACTTTTTATCCCCATGGACTGGCTGTCAGTCACTGCCCACCCCAAGCGGAGCCCACTGGTCCACTCACCGGCCCACTCGCTGCTCTTCTGGCTCTGCAGGCAGCTCACCGGCCCCCATGCCAACAGGCCCTGCTCAATCTGAACCCAGGCTCTAAAGTTTTGCAGCCGCTGCCAGTGAGCACGCTAAAATTACACACACACACACACACACACACACACACACACACACACACACGAAAGAGACTTACGATCCTTCCGTGTGGCTGCCCTCTGCCCACTCCACACACAGGCCGTACTCACAAGACCCAAGAATTGCGGGAATCTGGAAGCAGGACTCTGTCTCGAAGAGAACGTAGCAGGCAGGCTTTGGCAGTGACGACCTTCCCCAGGAGCATCTCAGGACCTTTGGGCCTAGTCTGGGAATGACAGGGAGGCCGCGCCTTGGCCCAAGCCTGAGGAGAGTGCTCTGCACCTTCCTCTCTGGTCCCAGGGCTCCCGTATACCTCACTTATTAGGCCGTACCCGAGCCCTTGTTGACATCTCTCAGGCAGGCCGGGTGCAGGGCGCCCTGCAAGGCCTGTTTTCTGTGCTGCCCTCTAGGTCCCGTGGCGGACTGGGTGTCCAGGGCCCAGCAAGGAGTGGGGAGGTCAGGCAGGGTTGAGGCTGTGGGCCCAGAAGCGCCCTCACTCCCAGCGCTCAAGGGTGTACACACACAGACATACACAGTATGAACCCCGCCTTCAGAACACCCACGAGGTCCGCACCCTCCCACTTAGGACAGAGAGGCCAGATCCTGCGTGCTCAGAGAGGCCCTGTGCCCTTCATTAAGTCCTGAGAGCCTTCAAAAAAAGAGCTAGGATTTTTATTGTCCTTCGGGTCACTGAAAGCGCCAACCTTTGAGCGTTTGCTCGAGCTCCTGCCGGGCCAGTTACTTGAAGATCCAGAAATTGGCACCATGATGTACTGTAGTTTGCTGGCCAAGCGCACCTGTGTGCAGAACCACAAAGGCACATCGGGGACGCGTGGACTAGTTGCTGCTTTATGAGAGCATTGCAATTCATGTGTGGCAACATTAGGTGTTACCAGGCGATAAGCGCAGGCCAGCCAGGCCGAGGCGAAGCGAACAGGGCACTGCGCCGCAGGCAACAGGTATGATTTTCACACACTCAGAAGCTGAATCAGGCCCTGCACCAACGTGCAACTTTTGGTTCCCACACTACATAGATAATCAGACAGACTCAGGCCAACAGGCCTAACACAGTCTGACACCGAGAGAGGTCCGGTTCCGGAGAAGGCCAGGTCCCAGCGCTTGCCAAACACCCCTGGTGAATCGCTCATCGGGACTCACAGGCTCCGAGACAGCAAAGGGCGGACTGCTGGGTGCCCAGTGGCCGCCCGGCTCTGGCGCCCTGTAGGCGGAGAAGCGCACCGGGGAAGAGAGCTATGGGCCTTCGCCCTCCTCTCCGCGAGGCTCCCCACGCTGGCGGACGCCTGGCTGCGCAGAAGGGTCTGCAGCTGAGCTCTTATCGAAGGGCGTTCTCTGTTCCCCAGAATCCTGGCTTTTCCAGAGGAAGCGGGAGACGTTCCGGACCTATGAAGGCTGAGCTTTCTTTCTTGGCCCTTTCTTTAGCACTGGGATTGTTTTCTGTCCCCGTTTTAGGCACAGGAAATATCCCTGCTGTGGCCTGCTAATCTGACCGGGCCAGTTAGCTGGGAAATAAGATGCGAGGGCGACAGTGGTGTTTCTGGAGTGAGGAGCTTGGGCTCTGGAAGGAGCCCTGTGATCAGGAACCCGGAACAAGAGCCTGGGTCAAATTGTCCCGCTGTCTGGTGTCGCAGCTCCTCCTGCGACTGAATGGTGATTGAATCGTTCCTCTGGGCCTCCAGGAGTAGTGGGAAGTTCAAGCACATGATAACCTGGTTTAGAGGGGATGTGAGGTGTTTGTGGGTACATAAAAACAAAACATAATGATTCCAGACCTAAAGTTTAAAACTTTGAAAAACTTCCAAAGCTGGTTTCCTCTACCAGTTTTATAGCAATAGACAAATCCCTTCTCATCCTGAGTCAAAATAAGGCACCAATTAAATTAATTTTTTAAATAATACACTCCACCCTCAGCTGGTCAAATTTGTTTCTGAAAAGAATTTTTATTTTCTTCTTTCAGTGGGACTGCCTCGATACCAGCATCACTCTGCCCCAGTGTGTGACAGAAAAGATTTCGTCCTCAACTTTAATGGCATTTCTTCCTTCCACCCCTCTGCAAGTGGGCCATATTATCACCATCACCATCACAATAGTGTATGTCAGGATATTAAGCCCTGTGTCATGTGAATGGAGGGAGGGATGCCATGCCAGGGCCACTTTCTCCGTGGAGGTGGGGGCGAGGCAGAATGAACTGACATGGAAGCACGTGAAGTACACCCCACAGCAGTCAGTAACACATCCATCACTTAGAATCCCCAGGCCAGCATTGTTCACTGACACTTGTCTACCAGTGGTAGAAGGACAGACCCTGGCATGGTTGTGCAGGAGCCAATGAGGGGGAGAGCTAATTGAGAACTCAACTTGTTAGCGAAGATGGTAAAAAGTTACCACATGAAAAACATAAAAATGTAACTCTGGGATCTTCATTGCCTTCAATAATCAGGGTCTGAAAACGCAGACAAGTTGTTTGTGTGTTTTTCTTTGTCTATGAAAATGTATATGCTTTTCAAAAAGGCAGTGCTAAACACAAGATATGAAGAAAGCCGCGCCTTGTTGCCCAGCTAAGGAGAGAATTCTGTTTCTCCAAACACTATGTTTGGATGCAGGTGCCAAAGAGTATTATTAAGAAAGTATTTAGAAACAATGTGTTTAGTTGGAGATCATGGTTTTCAGTATTGTGACAATACAATTATTTTTAGCAGGTTATTTTTTACCACCATATTTTAAAGATATTTTTATTATCTCTTGTATACTCACACTTTGCTTGTATTTTAAAAGGAGGATATATTTGCAGTTATGTATACTTTTACAGTTTGCCAAACTATTTTGATGTAAAAAATTTTCAATAAAATGTATATAACAAATAGTTGTTTTAAAGGGACCTGTTTTCCCTGAAGCATTCTGTAATCACCAGGTTGTCCTCACCACCCAGCCAATGCAACTCTACACACCCCCCCAAGTTGTGTAATTGACATGGTGTGGGGTCTGTGCCATTAGTAACAGGGCAGCTTCTGATTGTCAGAAGCTGCCTTCTCAGAAGACAAAGAGAAGAAGAAACATTTTCTGTTATTCCTTTCTTTCCTTCGCCCTACCTCTTTCTGGCTAAACAAAATCCAGAAGGTGAAAGTAACTTAAAGAAAACCAAGCAAGATAATGAAAGGCAAGATTTGTTTCATTTAAAGAAATGAATTGCCCTTTTTGTTCTCCTTCTTGAGCTCCAAGAGAGTTTTCCTTTTGCTCTTTCCTCTAACCTACCAGCTTACAGTGACAGGGCAGGCTGAGTAGCCAGTGAGGATTAGGTGCCAAAAAACAATACCTACTTCCTCTTTGCAAGACCAAAGTTTGTATGGATGTTGATACCATCCATACAAAGGTTATATGGGCTGGGGTGAAGGGAAGGCTGTGGGCACAGCAGTGGGCGGTCTCTAGCATCCATCCCGGTTTCTTTGCCTTTCTTGGAGAGTAACAGAACCTGGCCCTCACAAACGTTTGGTGCCTGCTCTCTGTCCCCACCCCCTAATTCAGAGCCTGGCTTACCCTGCTTAGCGTTGGCACTCTCCAATCCCCACATTTCCCTTCTTTGTGCCCTATATTCCCTCCTTTCTTTTCACAAGCAATGTGATGCTTTTCCTCAGGGATCCCTTCACGGTTCTGGTTCTTTTCTTGATCAGCCTCCCGAGATTTCCCAGTCATGAATGCTGTGGGCAAAGGCTGGCGAAGCTATAAATAACAAAGAGACAGTATAGGCCCCTAGGCAGGAGGACCCAGCCCACTTTTTTTCTGACCAGCACTTTACACTCAAGGGCAGCAGTGGCAACCTAGATCTCAGGAGTAGAGGTTCTCTCCCCAAATCACACTTTGGTTTTCTTCTCCAGCTCTGGCCTGGGTTTTTGTTTTGTTTTTGCTTTCGCTTTTGAAAACTCTCCTTTGTTACTAGTTCCCCGAATGGTCTTTCTCCCAACCAGTTACCAGGCACTAATACCACTGAGTAGATATCTCACACACAGGTTTTTATGTTTCAAGTGATTTCAGTCCAAAGACATCGTCCTAGTCAAACCTCCTGTCTTAAAAAGTCTTCACTATCTTCCTAATCCTTATGATTTCTTTGTTTTTTCCCAAAATTAAGCAGTGACTTAAAATTTTTTCTGTCTCCATTATCGTATTTGCAGTTAAATAGGGTCCCCCTCCCCTTTTTATACTGAGCTACCCGGGGCCTGCTATAAATTATGAAGTCAGTTTCAGAGTTTGCTCCGACCACAGTGCTGTGTTTACATTCCTCCTGAGGCTGCCGGCATGGTCGTAATTTATATCCTAAACACTTGAACGTAACTTGTTTATACAAAGAATGACAGGACCTCAAAGACAAAAAAACGCTGCGTCTCTCAGAGTGACCACATTGGAAAAGCCAGCGCGCCCCCTAGTGGTACAAAGAAGTACACTGCTCTACCCATCCCCGCCTCCGGCATGCTGTGATTCATGGTTCTTTCAAGATGCAAGAGACTCATTTTGTGTTGCTGTTTCTATATCGCTATGATGTGGAGAATGTTGACCCTATTTACAGATCTCCACTAGGTTATTGTTATCAGGAGTCCAACCCATGTTTTCTAAATTCCGTTCATTTTCATACGTTTCCCCCAACATCACATATAAGAACTTTGTATCTGACATTGCAGACACAGGCTTAAAGGCGATCTTCACTCTGAAGCAGGGATTCTCAAACTTGAATGTGCATCAGAATCATTTGGAGGGCTTGTTAAATACATACTTCTGGGCCCAACCCTAGTTTCTGATGCAGTCCATATGGGGCAGAGCTCAGGAGCTACTATTCCTAATATTTAAGTTCTCAGGTGATGCCGATGTTGGCCCAGGGACCACGCTTTTAAAAGCACAGGTCTAGAAAGGCAGTTGGAATTACAAATATTTTCAGGTTCAGGTGAGTGAGTTTTATGGCTTATCTATTAATTAGTTAGGCAATGTAAAATGATTTTCAAAAATATCTTGCCCACCCAAATACCTCTGTGATTAATTACTGGCCCTTGAGGAACTGCAAGGACAAATTTTGAGCCCAGCACCACAAAACAGAACCTCTCTATTTTTATTAAAAACAATGAAGCCCCTTGTTTGGTTCTATTAAATTCTGCAAAGAAGAGTCAGGTGGAATCACTGAAGTCTGCCTGTCTCAGCTGAGCCATAAGTCTAGGCACTTATCCACAGCAGTGGTGTCAGAATTCTCCTGACAGAGGATGTGGTGATTGCAGCAGGTGGGGCAAACAAAAAATTCCTTTATTGGTTATAAAATCTTTTGAGGATAGAACAAAAAGAAGGCAAAGAAAGGGGCTGCAGTCTCAGAGTACACAAACAATGATGCCTAGATACAAATGCGTCAGGCAGAACCGAGGGAGGAGAAACAAAGAGAGATACAGAGGGAGAGATACGGAGACAGGGAGGGAAAGAAAGCAGGAGCAAGGAGAGACAGAAGGACAGACAACAAAGAAAGATAGAGGAGGGAGGGAGAGAGGAAATGAGGGGGGAGAGAAAGGGAAGAAGGGTTGGAAGAATAGAGAGAGGGAATAATAAATTAAGGTAGAAAGAGAATGGGAGGGAGAGAGACACAGAGAGAGGTCCAGAAAGAAGGAATCTAAAATGTGTCTTAAGAGTTCCATTCCAAAGTTAGCAAAGCAGCTTTTGAAGCTGGACTGCTGTCCTCTGAGGCCACAGTTATATCTTCAAGTCTCCAATGCCAGGCACTGGCTGAAAGGCTCACATACTTTTGTTTTACTTGGCAGCTGCTTGGATTCTGGGGAAGCAAGAGAATTCTCTAGTCGTGCATGCTCAAAATTTCTAAACTGCTGCAGCCACTTCTAGATAATTTAAGGAGGATTGTCTTGACATTTTAGAAAGTGGAAGTCTGATTTGGGGGGAAATCTTCAGGCCTATAGTAAATGCCATTGTACTGTGACAAATAGAATGAGTACCTCCTTCCTGAAAGACAAAAAAAACTCTCTTGTTGATGCATCTATACCTAATTACTGTACATCAAGGTGATTAATTCAAAACAGACACCAACTTATTTAAGATGGAAATATATTTTAATGTATTTTATTGGAACGGAAAGACATTTTACCAAACCTGCCTCTATGAAACACTATCTGAGCAAGGAAAAACACCACAGACTAGACATTGGCCAGGGAGAGCCACAGCACACAGTCACCAAGATCATTTGGGAAAAAATAAAAGTCTTTGAGTTCAGAGTGCCTTGAGTCCACAACAATCCAACTGATAAATATTCAGCTTTCCAGTCCCAAGGGGCCGTGTCCACCCCAGGGCTGAATCACCAGTCCTCTTGGCATAAGTCTGTGCAAGAGACAGAGGAAGTCTGAGGAGCAGTTGGGAGACCAGTGCCTTCCAGAAGGGCTCCATCCTACCTTCCAGTGTTGGAGCTGCTGTCTCACAGATAAAAAGATTCCCAAGGCGCCTTGGCTATAGCTGGGCAGAGACTCTATTCTTCAAACAGTATCATGTCGCCTCCCAGAACTTTGAATTTAATTGAGTCTGGGCCCCATGATATGTGAAATGGACAAACTCCTTCGTCTCTCTCCTGGTAATTATTGGGGGGCATTTCACTTCCTTACTCCCCAAAGTAAGCCCTCACCTATAGAGAAAGTTTATCTGCCCCCACTCTCCTCATTAAGGGCTCTAGCCACTGTCCTTTGCACTTTATCCAGGACCTCCCCACTCCCATTTCTAAGCATTTCCCCATGGTGTCTCTTCCATGGTCTGTGAAGCCATTATTGTCACACTTACATTGTTTCATCGTGGAGGAGATGGAAGCGAGGCTCAGGACAGCCCCTGGCTTAGAGCTCACGAGGCAGCCTTTCCTTGAGTAATTTGGAAGCTAGATTTTATTTCCTTCAGCTAGAAAACACTCTAGAGCCAACATGTAGGTAAGCCCAGCCACAGCCAACCACCTTTCTGGTAAAGCCTCTGAGGTACTTCTCCACAGTCCCCTGTGGGAGGCCATGTTGCTCCTGAAAGTGCACCAGACACAGGCCCTGCATCCAGATTCACACCTCTTAAAGAGAAGAAAGATCAGGGGAAAGCTGTTTCCTTTGTGAGTTGGGGAAGAC